AGCCACCCCAGCATAGAACTGCTGGGCTCCGGCAATTCCTCCAAGTAACTAGAACTAGAGGCGAGCACTTCCATGCCTGGCTAATTTTTGATTTGTTGTAGAGACAAGGGCTCGCCAAGTTGCCTGGGTTGGTCTTGAACCTGTGGGCTCAGGCAATCCACTTGCCTCGGTCTCCCAAGTAATGGGATTACAGGCTGAGCCACTGAGCCCAGAACATGTTTCCATTAGAGGTCAACATGAATTCCCTGATACCTCCTCCTTTCTCAGTAAGTCTTAAGATATAGGCATACCTTGTTTGATAGTACTTAACTTTATTATGCTTCACAGATATCGTATCTTTTACAAATTGAAGGTTTGTGGCAACCCAGCATCAAGCAAGTCTATTATCATCATTTTACCAATAGCATGTGCTCACGTTGCATCTCTGTCACATTCATGTAGTTTGGAAACAGCCTAGGTGTCCTCTCCTAATCTCATGTTGAAATGTGATTCCCCAGTGTTGGGGTGGGGCCTGGTGGGAGGTGTTAGGGTCATGGCTTGGTGCCATCTTCATGGTAATAAATGAATTGAATTCTAGTTGCTTAAAAAAGTCTAGCACCTCCATTCTCCTTCTTGCTCCTCTCTCACCATGTGACACACCTTCTCCCTGTACCTTCCACTGTGACTTTAAGCTTCCTGAGGCCTCACCAGAAGCACATGCCAGCACTATGCTTCTTGTACAGTCTACAGAACCGTAATCTAAAATAAACCTCTTTTTTTTACAAATGACCCAGTCTCAGGTATTCTTTTATAGTAACACAAAATGGACTAATAAAAACATTTTGATAATCCTCAAATTATTTCAAACATTTTCATCATATCTGTTATAGTGACCTATGATCAGTAACCTTTGATGTTACTATTGTAATTGTTTTAGAGCACCACAAATGATGCCCATATAAGACAGCAAACTTAATCGATAAATGTTACGGATTCTGATTGCTCCACCAACTGGCTATTCCCTCATCCCTCTCCCTCTCTTCAGGTTTTCCATTCCTGTCAAAATGATGACAATTAATAACCCTACAATGACTTTTAACTATTCAAGTGAAAGGAAGAGTCACATGCCTCTCACTTAAAATAAAAGGCTAGAAAGTATTCAGCTTAGTGAGGAAGGGATGTCAAAAGCTGAGGTAGGTCAAAAGCTAGGCCTTTTGTGCCAAACAAGGAGGTTGTGAGTGCAAAGAAAAAGTTTTTGAGGAAAATTAAAAGTGTTACTCCAGTGAACACACAAATAATAAGACAGTGAAACAATCTTTCAGTCATTTTCAAGCAGGGCTTCTTCCCAGAGCTGAAACCTGGCCCATGTCAAAAGGACATATGTTTTTAACATTTTACATAAGGTTATACCCATATGAATAATATAAATGTTATTCAAAAATAGAAATGTCAAATATTTGAAAATTTCTAATTTCTGAAACTTCTTGACTTCTGGTCTTTTGAGGAGGCTTCATGAGCTTTGAAAGGGGAGGCAATGCTCTAAGACAGCAATGTCCAGTAGAAACATGGACATGGAAGCCACGTGTGTCATTTAACATTTACTAGTAGCAATATAAAATAAAAGAAGAAATGAATGAAAGTGGTTGTAGTAATTTATTAGTCAAATACGCAAAATATTATCTTTTGAATATGTGGTTATAAAATTAATGAAGTTGGTTTTGGTACTAAATCTTTAAAACTCACTCTGTATTTTAAGCTTCCGACACATCTGTTTAGATCATCCTATTCCCAGGTGCTCAGCAGCCCCACTTGACAGTGGATGCCACACTGAAGCACAGCTTTATCTATGGCCATACTACCGTGAACATGTCCAATCTCATCTGAAATACAGCTCTGAGGGCTCTGACTCCTTTGACTTCAGGGAGGTGGGGAGCCTGAGCTCTCATTTTCTCCTAGAGGTAAGGGAATATTCAAGACTTCAACAAAGTAAGTAACTGCAGAAGTGGCGTAAATAGCAAGAGAATCAGAATTAGAAGTAGAATCTGAAGATGGGATTGAACTGCTGCAACCTTGGGATAAAACTTGAACAGATGAGGAGTTGTTTCTTATGCAAAGAAAGTGGTTTCTTTCTTCTTCTTCATTTTTTTTTAAGAGACAAGGTTTCCCTCTGTCACCCAGGATGGAGTACAGTGGCACAATCATAGCTCACTGCAGTCTCAAACTCCTGGGCTCAAATGATCTTCCCACCTCAGTCTCCCAAGTAGCTGAGATTATAAGCATGAGGCAGCGTGACCAGTGAAAATGGTTTCTTGAGATGAAATCTACTCCTGGTGAAGATGCTATAAACATTGCTGAAGTAAAAACAATGAATTCAGAGTATTCCATAAACTTAGTTGACAAAGCAGCAGCAGGATTTAAGAGGATTGACTCTAATTCTGAAAGAAGTTCTATTGAGAGTAAAATGCTATCAAACAGCCATCACATGCTACAGAGAAATTTTTCATGAAAGGAAGGAGTCAATCGATGCAGTAAACTTTGCTGTTAATCTAATTTTCGGAAATTGTCATAGCTACCCAACCTTCATTAACCACTGCCCTGATCAGTCAGTAGCTATCAACATCAAGTCAACAGGCTCCACCAGCAAAAAGATTACAACTTGCTCAGAAGATCACTAGTATTTTTTAGCAACAAAGTATTTTTTAGGTCAACTGTGGTGGCTTAACCCTGTAATCTCAGCACTTTGAGAGGCCAAGACACAAAAATCACTTGAGGCCAGGAATTCAAGATCACCCTGGGCAACATAGCAAGATAACATAAACTCTACAAATAAAATAAAATTAGCCAGCTACTTGGGAGGCTGAGGTGGGAAGATCACTTGAGTCCAGGAGTTTAAGGGTACAGTTAACTATGATAGTACCACTACACTCCAGCCTGGGCAACAGAGTATGACACTTAATAGGGTAAACACAACTGTAACATGCACTGGGAAACCAAAGAATTCATGTGACTCGCTTTTTATTGTACCAAACCTGCTAAATCTCTGAGGAATGCCTGTACTTAAAACTCTAACCAAAGGCTTTTTTTTTTTTTTTTAATTCTTTTTTTCCTCCCTACCACCTGTTTAATGGCAAAGATTTTTCCTGGCCTCCACTGGTACAGAGTATTTGTAACTCTAAGAACTATTAATTGAGAACATACATGATGACAAAAAGCTGCTAAAATACAAATGTTTTTCAAATAATTTGGATATTATTTATCATATCATATCTGTATCTATAAAACATTTGAAATATAGCGGTAATTTAATGGGGGAGAGTATTTATTTCTCCTCAGTCAATGTTGTTCTCCTAGGGTATACTGGACATATACTGGACATCTCTATTCTGGGCAATACACATATGCCTGCATAGAAAGAACACACCTCTCCCACTTTCAAGTTTATGACATTTGTGGTTTTAGGTGATCATACACCAAATACTGGTTTTCTCTACATTTTAATGGATAAAACAGAAAGTCACTATGAAGTACATCTGTATCTCTGTATTAGTAAAGTTTCTTGAAGAGAAAAAGTAAAGTCTTGAACAAATTCAGATGAATAAACATATTCTTAGGCTGACTAAGGAAGCTAAAGTACATGAGCAATGTTCAGTTCTACTCAAGTCAAAAACAAAGAAGTCCAGGATGAAAAACTTTCATTGTTACTGATATTTTATCTAAAAAGAAAATAAACATCATGACAGAATTCCATTTTTAAAAACTGAATTCACAGTAAAAGGAGCCATGACATCCAAATGCAATACTTAATCCTGGACTGGATCCATTATTGAAGGAGGAAACAATGCTATAAGTGATATAAATGATGAGACAAAAATATTATTAGCAATGTATATAAGGATACACAGCAACCCTTATTTAACAGTTTTTAAAACTATAAATGTCACCTATATAGTCTAAACATTATAAGGACAAAATTTTAGGAAAACAAACTTTTCTAACACTTCATATATGTAAGTTCACAAATTAAGACAAAAAAAGAAACCCTATCATTTCATGTATGCACACCTATTTCTTGATCATTCTGGGAAAAATACTGGGAAATTAAGTTTTCTTTTGCTAAAACAATAAATAATTCAAGTTGGGCATGGTAGTTCATATCTGCAAACCTAGCACTCTGGGAAGCTGAGACAGGTGGATTGCTTGAGCCCAGGAGCTCAAGACCAGACTAGACAATATAGCGAAACCTGGTTTCTAAAAACAAAAAAAATCCAAAAATTAGCCAGGCAGACTACTGTAGTCCCTGCCACTTGAGAGGCTGAGGTGGAAGGATCACCTGAGCCCAGGAAGACAATGTTGCCATGAGCTATGATCATCATGATCATGTCACTGCACTCCAGCCTGGGTGACAGAGTAAGATCTTGACTCAAAAACAAAAACAAATAATTCAACACGTTCCTCTCAAACATCAAAAACAATTTTTTTGTATAACTAACAACTAAAAAAATTCCCTCTTCAGTGTTTAAAATTTAAAAATTTGAACAGCGGGAGGCTGAGGTAAGTGGATTGCCTGAGCCCGTGGGTTCGAGAGCCGCCTAGGAAGCTTGGCAAGACCTCATCTCTACAATAAATCAAAAAAGTTAGTCGGGCGTGGTAGCGCACGCCTATAGCTCCACCTACTTGGAAGGCTAAGGCAGAAGGATCGCCGGAGCCCAGCAGGTCAAGGATGTGGTGGCCGGGAGCGGCCACTGCACTCCAGTCTGGGTGGCAGAGTGCGACTCCAACTTAAAAAAATTTGAACAGCTTAAATAGCTCAATTTATAGCAATAAAATGTAAGTATTAACGATGGTTTCATGCAGTCATATGAAATATTAGCAATTTCCATTTTGAGGACTCTTACCAGTTCTTCAAAAACTCCCCCATTCTGAAGAATGTTACCCATTCTTCAAGAACTCCCAGTTTAGACCTCAATTCCATAAAGCCAACTCTAGCACCTCTATCTAAATCTGCTATTTATGCCTCTTACCTTCAGAAACTCCTTGCAGTTGTCAAGTCCAATATCCACAAGAATACTTTTCACCTTTTTCCGCACCTTTCTGATGTTGTCAAGATTTTCCACAGGAATTTGAAACATTTTTGAAATTATCCTTAAGAGGAAAAAAAAAACTGTAAAAAGTATGTATATTATATACACATATAGTATATACATACAAATATACATTTTTTAACAGGATTGGTAAAACACTAGAAATAGAGTATAATTTTCAATAAATGGTGCTAGAACAACTGGACATCTATATGCAATAGAATGCATATGGAGGTTGACTCCTTCTTTAAACCACACACAAAAATTAACTCAAAGTGGATCATATAACTACATGTAAGAGCTAAAACTATACAACTCTCATAAGAAAACATAGCTATAAATCTTCATGACTTTGGATTTGGCAATAAATTCTTAGATATGACCCCAAAAAGCACCAACAAAAATGAAAAAAATAGGTAACTTGGACTTTTATCAATATTAAAAACGTTTGCGCTTCAAAGGACACCATCATAAAAAGCAAAAATTCCACAAAATGAGAGAAAACATTTATAAATCAGATTTCTGATAAGGAACTTATAGCCACAATATATAAAGAGTGCTTATAACTCAATAATTAAGACAACCCAATTTAAAAATAGGCAAAGGATCTGAACAGGTATTTTTCCAAAGAAGACCTACAAATGGCACATGAAAAAATACTTGATATCATTAGCTTTTGGGAAAATGCAAATCAAAACCACAGAGGATACTACATCCACTAGGATGTTTAAAAGTTAAAGGAAAATAATGTGTTGGCGAGGATATGGAGAAACTAGAAGTCTCATACATTGCTAATAGTAATGTAAAATACTACAACCAGTTTGGAAGTCAGTGACAGTCCCTCAAAAGGTTAAACATATAGGGACCACATAAACCAGCAATTCTATACTAGAGAAATGGAAAACCTACATCCACTCAAAGACGTATACAAAGATGTTCATAGCAGTATTATTCAATTGCCAAAATGTGTAAACAACCCAAATGCCCATTAGCTGATGACTGGATAAATAAAATGTGGTATAGTCATACAATGGAAGATGATTTGACCTTAAAAGGAAATACTGATACATACTACAATGTAAGCAAACCCTGGAGACATGGTAAGTGAAAGAAGTCAGACAAAAGAACAACATATTGCACGATTCCATTTTTATGAAGTGTCCAGAATAAGCAAATCTATAGACAGACAACAGAGGCTACCAGGGCTGGAAGAACTGAGAAGTGACACAGAGCATTTTTTTTGGAATGACAATGTTTTGAACTCAACTGTGGTGACATACGCACAGCTCTATGAAGGTGCTCACAGGCATTAAACTCTACACTTTAAACAGGTGACTATATGGTATGTAAATTATATTAATAAAGCTGTCTAAATATCTGAAAAGGCATAAAATTAAAATAAACCCTATAGCAGCTGATGGAACCAAGTGGTAATGAAGTGATCTCACTGTTCTCAACAAATAGACATAAAAATAAATGTAGCTTAAGAGTGTGCATGTAGGCAGGGCTCGGTAGCTCAGCCTGTAATCCCATCACTTTGGGAGGCCAAGGTGAGTGGATTGACTGAGCCTGTGGGTTCGAGACTCACCTGGGCAACTTGGTGAGACCTCATCTCTACAATAAATCAAAAATTAGCCGGACGCGGTAGTGCACGCCTGTAGTTCTGGCTACTTGGAAGGCTGAGGTGGAAGGATCGCGGAGCCCAGCAGGCTGAGGCTGTGGTGGCCGGGAGCGTGCCACTGCACTCCAGTCTGGGCAACAGAGTGAGACTCCAACTCAAAAAAACAAACAAACAAAAAAAGAGTGTGCATGTAGCCAGGTGTGGTGGCTCACGCCTGTAATCCCAGTACTTTGGGAGGTGGAGGCAAGAGGATTGCCTGAGCCCATGGGTTCAAGACTAGCCTGGGCAACTTGGTAAGACCTCTTCTCTACAAGAAGTCAAAAAATTAGCCAGGCATGGTGGTATGCATCTGTGGTTCCAGTTTCTTCGAAGGCTGAGGCAGAAGGATCGCCTGAGCCCAGCAGGCCAAGGCTGCAGTGGCCATGAGCATGCCACTGCACTCCAGCCTGGGCAACAGAGTGAGATTCTGATTCAAAAAAAAAGAGTGTGCATGAATACATACACACACACACTCCATAGCTCTGTCCATTGAGACAGTTTGGAGGCAATTATATGCCCAAGGAGCAGTGGGCACACCTAGGGCCCAAATCTTAATTTCTAAATACTACTTTCCATTAAAAAGAACCAGGGATTCTTGGGGAAATGGCTGATTTTAAGGCTGGAGTACAGTAAAGACAAGACAAGCCTAGAACATCCTGTGCCAAAAAAATAAGGGCAGATGCTCAAAGAATGATGAAACATATCAAAGCAACACAAAAGAAACCAGTATGAAAGGGCTCCCAGAGGCCAATATGACACAATTTGGTACATATATCAAATAACAGATTATAACCTATGGCAAACCGAATTTTCTAGAGATGCAACAATACCTGCCAACCCACATGCTCTTACAATATGGCTCTAACACTCCTCCCAAAGGTGGAGCATCTATGCCTTCTCCTGTTGACCCTTGAGCAAACTTTATAACTGCCTTAACCAATAAAGTATAGAGGAAATCATGCCATGAGAATTCCAAGACTAGTCCATAAAAATGTCACACACGTCTCTCACGACAAGTACACTCAGAATCCAGATACCAGGCTTATAGGAAGTACAATTAGCCCAGAGAGACCACATGGTGATATTCCACATCAACCACCAGTTGTGAGTCCACTCCCTAGCTGTCAAGTCATCTCTGCCTTTGAGTCTTCCCAGATAAGACACTGTGAAACAGAAACAAGCCATCTCTACTCCATGTCTGAATTTCTGGCCCACAGGACTTGTGAGCTTCTTTAATAAAATGTTTCACTCCACTAAGTTTTAGAGTGGTTTGGTATACACCAATAGTAAGTCTATAATCCACTAAATAGAAGCCTACTAAACATAAACCTAAGTTCATACTCATATAATTAAATAAACTGAAAGTCTGATGAAGAATGAGGCATATGCATGATTTCTAAGTATCTCCTCACAAATAATTTCCAGGGGAAAGAGTAATTTCACATAAGTCTGGCAGACAAGCCCAAATTATATGTACAAAATAACTTGCTTAAGATATATAAGCATCAAGATTATGTAAGGTAGTAAAGTTCATAACAGTTAAAAGACAAAAACATGGACACCATCCAAATGTCCATTAAATGGTGAACAGATAAACAAAATGTGGTAATCCATACAATGGAATACTACTCAGCAATAAAAATGATAGTGGTATTGATGCATGCAAAAACATAATGCAAACTGAAAGAATCTAGATGCCAAAGTCCTCATATGTCTGATTCCATTTATATGAAATGTCTGTGGGGACTGGGGGGGGGGACACCCCTTATCAACAAGGGTGCCTGAACGATGCATATTTGTATACCTAATCCTTAACTGTACCCCACAATTTTAAAATAAAAGATATGTTTTTTAAAAAAATAAATGTCCAGAAATGACAAAGGAGGTAGATTTAGTGGTTGGCTGGGCATGGGACCAGATAAGTAAATGAACAGGATTTTTCAGGGAGGATGCTAGAAATGTTCTAATATTAGATTGTGGTGATGGTTGCACAAGTCTGTAAATTTACTTTAAAAAGAAATCAATGAATAATATACTTTTAAAAATATATCATGGACAGAAAAACTAAAAAAACTATTCCAGATTGAAGGAGACTAAATATAATGTGCAATTCTCTACATTCTTTTATTACAAATGTTATTGGAGCAACTGGCAAAACACAGGAATCTGAAATCAGATGGTTATAATGTATTGATTTGCTGATTTTAATGGGTTTAATAGCTATGTAGGAGAATGTTCTCATTTGTAGGAAGGAAACACAGCATTTGTGGTAATGTGGCATCTTTTTTGGGCAACTTACTCTCAAATGATTCAGGGAAATAGTTCCTTTGTACTGTACTTGTACAACTTTTCTATAAATCTGCAACTATTTCAAAAAGTTATCTTAATGTGTAAGTTATAAAAGCTAAAAAATGTATCAGTTAAATTCAAGTGGCAAACATTTTGGTTACTCAACTTCATTAATAATTCAAGAAAGACCATTTAAAAGAATGCCAATTTTTAAGTATCAAAACAATAACTTTTAAGATTAACTATATCTGGTGGTAATAAAAGTAGAAGAATCATAATTTCCCAAGATTTTTAAGGATGATGTCTGTGTCAGCTACTCTACCTCTACACCAAGCTAGCACAGTAGCCAGTTGATCATCGTCTACTGCACTCACCACACTATGTTGCAACTATGCACTTATATATCTATTTCCCCTATTCGACTAAACTTCCTCCGAGAAGAAATGTTATATTTGCTTGACTGGGGTCCATCACAAGCATAGTACATAACAAATGTTCATTAAACAAAAAAAACCAAACAAACAACAAAAAAGCTACAACAGGGTAAGAAACCATAACATACACAGAATGTGCTACCAAGGTTCAAAAGAAGAAAAGGCTATTGAGAGTTGGGGCCCAAGACATTCAAGACAAATAAACCAGCATCAAAAATTAATAAAGGTAAAGGAGGAGTCTGAATATATTGGCAAAAGATTAATAAATCCAAAAAAGTAGACCAGAATCAAACTGGGGAGGGAGGGGAAAGAGAGAGCATTAACATATAAGAGCGAGGAATTTTTGGTGGGTACCAAGGAAACACTAAATTTCTGAGGAGCCAATTAGGAGTAGCTAAGTTTCTTTTCAGACAAGTCATCTATGTGAAAAATGTATCTTGGTTTCAACAAAAGAAGAGACTTAAGGATCACTAGCACTGTAGATCCAGGAGATATAAAAATCATAGGAAATAAACTTAAAAACAATGAAACTTTAAAAAATAAAATGCCTTCAAAAGCTTACATTCTCACACAAGAGCTGTCCATGATACATTTTTTAAACACTAAGTTAGGCTCAAGGTCACTTAAAGCCCAAACCAGCTCCTTTGGTCAGTGTAAGGTTCAACAAAAATTCTGTCA